CGATGAGAGGGAAACATCGATTCAGCTGCACACTCCCTACTGGGGATGTGCTCGCAACCAAGGTACATGCCCCTGACCGGAATCGAACCTGGGACCCTTCAGTCCGCAGGCCAGCGCTCTATCCACTGAGCCAAACTGGTCAGGGCAAGTGAGCAGTGTTTTGAAGCCTTCATAGTGTTCATCCTTATTTGAACAAGTTCTTTTATAGTATAGTTTTTAGGATATGTTGATTTCCTCCTTGCGTTTGCAGAAACAGATCCATGTACCCTCTGACCTGGTTCTGTACTTCATTGTTGGTGTTTGCATTAAGAGACATAGCTGATAAGGCCAGCGTTTACCTTTTGGAAATGAAATGCTTCTTATCTTGAGTAAATACATATGCAGGTTACTCATGTTGGTATTGTGCCTTGCCTCAGGAAAGATTTTGTGTACATTTTAAGCATGCCATATATTATGATAGATTAAGTGTTTAGTTAACATTCATAGAAGGACAGTAATTCTTTTTAAAGTAGTGTTGGAGTAGTTGAAATCTATTCGGTGAATTTGTATTTGACCTCTTATTATATTTATTAGCCATATAAATTAATATCTATAACACTAAAACATTGTTATTTGATGCTTTTGGGGGGGTGACCTTACCTAGAGACAGTAAGATTAAAGGATCATTTTTGTAGACTGTAATTTTCCTGGCTTCTGACTATGTCAACTCCATTATCTATCAGTGATCTCTAGTTTGCCATTTGTGGGTCATCATTCCTTTCTTGTGTAAGAACTCTAATTGGCAAGGTGTGAAAGTTACTGATTAATACAATAGTGTGTGTGTGTGTGTGTGTGTGTGTGTGTGTGTGTGTGTGTGTGTGTGTGTTTAAAGGAGAATAATTATAGTAGCTGAAAGCTCTCCTCTGGATTTGGGTGCAAATTTGACAGGTTTACTTTCGACTCTGAATTACAATGGACCTTTGAAGACCTTGGCCATACCTTTTTTAAAAAGATTTTTAAATTGATTTTTAGAGAGAGGAAGGGAGACACAGAGAGAGAAACATCGATGTGAGAGCAGAAAATGAACACCCCCTACCTAGGATCAAGCCCATAACCCGGGCACATGCCATGACTGGAAATCGAACTGGCAACCTCTCCTTGCATGGGAGGATGCCCAACCAACTGAGCTACACTGGCCAGGGTTTGGCCATACCTTTTTAGTGGAATTTTACCTTTAGCAATATGTCTGGGTCAGCAGTTATAACTTTGTAAAGTTGTTTACTCTGAATGCTGACCACTTTTAATCCATAGGATCAAAGGATAAAGTGAAGTATGTAGCTTATCCTGGCACATGACTTGTGCTTGCTAATTTCATCAGAGGGCATCAAAATTAATTCGTTATTCTTCAGAGCAGATCTGCTGACCTATCACAATGGAAAGACTTCTAGCTAATTATAGGGACATTTAGGACTTATTCGTCATCTTGGGTTAGACAGAAAATCATAAACACTTGTTTTTAGATATCTTCCAAGTTTAGCATTTCTTACTTTTGTTCTTTTGTTTCTTACTTTTGTTCCTTAACTCTTTTTAAGCCCTTTTTACAGAAATACAATTGAAATATAATATTGATATGTAATAAGCTTAACCCCTTCCCCGGCAGAAACGTGTATACACGTTTTCACAAAATGTTCTTTTTTCAGTCGTCGACGAGTATACTCGTCTAAAACTTCACCTTCAAAAACCAGCTACATACGTACCATTCTAAATAATTTCATCTAGAAACTTTCTGAGGAAATACTATTCTTAACCACAAAAATGGGAAGAAAAAATAATTACAAACTGTTTTCATAACCAGCATCAAAAATACTATATAGAACCAAAATAAAAAAATTAGTCTGAAAAAGAAACGTTTTTAACAAAAAAAATGTTGGGGAAGGGGTTAAAGTGTACAGTGTATTGACGTGATGCATTTATCTATTGTAGTATGATTGCCACCATAGCATTAGCTAGTACCTCCATCATGTCACATAATTATCATTTTACTAAAGGCCTAATGCAGGAAATTTGTGCAAGAGTAGGCCTTCCTTCCCCTTGCTGCTGGCACCGGCTTCCCTCTGGTGCCCGGGACTCAGGCTTCCCTTCAGCCACCGGCAGGCACCATGCATCCCCGGCTTCATCCAGAAGGTCATCCAGAAGGATCGTCTAATTATCATATTACACTTTTATTTATAGATTATGTTGACAACAGTTAAGATTTAGTCTCTTACAACTTTATTTTAAAAATATTTAAGGAAGCCCTAACTGGTTTGGCTCAGTGGATAGAGCGTCGGCCTGCGGACTCAAGGGTCACAGGTTCAATTCCAGTCGAGGGCATGTACCTTGGTTGCGGGCACATACCCAGTAGGGAGTGTGCAGGAAGCAGCTGATGGATGTTTCTCTCTCATTGATGTTTCTAACTCTCTATCCCTCTTCCTTCCTCTCTGTAAAAAATCAATAAAATATATTTTAAAAAATATTTAAGGAACTCGTATAGTATTTGTCTATGTCTGTCTTACTTATCTCACTTAGCATGCCTTCAAGATCTATCCCTATTGTTACAAATGGCAGGATTTCCTTATCACTTTTGCAGCAACAGTAATTTTATTTATTTTTCTAGTTTTATTGAGATGTAAGTGACATAACAATGTATAAGTTAAAAGTGTACAATGATTTGATATCTACACTAATAAAAGACAAACATGCAAATTGACCATACCTTTGCTACGCCTTAAGCCATGCCCACCAGCCAATCAGAGTGACTATATGCAAATTAACCCAAACAAGATGGCAGCCTGCAGCCACGGAGCTGGAGCAAGCGGCGAGGGTGTGCGGGGACCTGGGAAATTATTTTCTGC